GCTCTTGGCAACTAGGCTAGCATCGGGTTATTGCTTTGGTAGGTGGGCGCAACCATACTTGAGGCGAAAAGATTGGGTTTTTCACTGGTTTTACTGGGTTTTGTTTCTATTTTTCTTTTTTCTTTTGCTTTCCCCCCTTTTCTCTATTTTTATTTGGTTTCCTTTTCATTGTCTTTTTCGGTTTTCTTCATATATTTTTTGGGTTTCACTGTGTTTTTTCCTTTTATTTCATTTTCCGTGCTTTTCTTCAGTTTTGTTCCTTTCTTTCTTGTTTTGTATTGGTTTTATTCAAATACCAGATTAACATTCATTAAATACATGGTCAACATATTTTCTATACACATTCAACGTTTTCACAAATACTTGTTCAACGTTTATCAAATGCTTGTTCAACGTTTTTCAAACACTAGATCAACATTTTTTGAACACATCATCAACATTTCTTCAAATACTTGTTCAACATTTCTCAAAATGCTTGTTCAACATTTTTCAAAATGTGTGATTAACAGGTTTCTAATACTTGATTCACATTTTTCAAATTGTTGTTCGACATTTTTCCAAATGCTTGATTAAAATTTTCCAAATACTTTGTCAACATTTCCCAAATACTTGTTTCATATATTTTTGAATGCTTGATTGACATTTTTCAAATACTTGTTCAACATTTTTCAACTACTTCTTTCCCTAAAAATAAAGCGGCTATTACTTCTGCCCGCTCACCGTCGTTATTGTTATTTAGTTCTTTTTCTTGCATTATTTGGTTTTTCGCGCGTCTGTAATTGGAGTTTTTACGTAATTGGGCCGAAATAACGTTTCATGTGTTCTATTTTGATTGGATGAAGTGTAGATTCTTTTCCTGGTCTTTTGATGGTCTGCTAGAGTGTGTTTTGACAATGCTTTAGGCCATGTTTGGCTGCTCAGTTTTTTAAACCATGGTTTTAAATTCTTTGACGTGTTTGCCATCAAGTAATACAGTAGTTTCATAAACCGAAGTGTCAGTATCGTGGTATTTTTGGAGTATTTGAAAAAGAGCTCAACATCTCTTTTTTCTAAACCAAAACGAGAAAGCTTTGGTATTAGTAACCGAAGTATTCACAGCCCAGGCATTGAAATACCGAGGTATTAAATTACTATAGTTTCAAAAAACCTATGTTGTATCTGTTTGGTTATGGCAAGTATCAATGTGAATTTTTTATTCTTGCAGTTGCTAATGTACTGGTATTTTAAGTTCTTTTTATTTCAGAAAAAAATCAATTGAGACACGGACATAGCAGAGGCGAGCATGTTGTATCCAAGGTGGCATCCCCACATATTTTAGTGGAGGCTTTGTCTGAAAAATATTTGGGTCTACCCTTGTTTGTTGGGGCAAACAGGAGTGACAAATTTCAATATTTAGTAAATAGAGTTTGTCAACTAGTTCAAGCTTGGAAAGAGAAAACACTATCCATTGGTGGTAAAGAGGTTCTGCTTAAAGTTGTAGCCCAAGCTCTACCTGCATATGCAATGTCTGTATTCAGGGTTCCAAAAAATATATGTAAAGGAATCACGAATGCAATAGCGCAGTGTTGGTGGGGTGATGACATCAGTAATAAGAAGATGCACTGGTTTGCCTGGTGGAAGCTTTGTGTTCCAAAAGAGATAGGAGGAATGGGGTTCAGAGATCCTCACTGTTTTAATTTGGCTATGTTAGCTAAACAAATATGAAGATTAATGGAGGCTCCAGACAGCTTATGCGCAAGAGTTTTGAGAAGTAAGTACTATCCTGATGGCAAGATTCTTAATGCTAAACTTAAATCAGGCTCATCTTTTACTTGGCAGGGTATATTGTCAGGGCTCAATACATTTAACAAGGGAGCTATCTGGCGTGTCGGAGATGGCCAGCAAATTGATATTTGGGAGGATGCATGGCTACCGTGTAGTAATAACGGAAGGATTTTGACGCCCAAAGGTCACTGTTTGCTAAAACATGTCCATGAATTGATTGATCCTAGTTGAGGAGTATGGGATGCTTCACTTATTTTGATCCATTTTTTGGGATGTTGATGCAAGACAAATCCTAGCAATTCCGTTGAGTCAAAATGGAATGGGTGATTTTGTGGCATGGAAATTCAGTAAGAATGGTTTCTTTTCAGTTCGTTCTACATACCACATGGAGTGGGAATCTACAATTTGGTGTCTCCCTGCAAAGATCTGATGGAACGGGATGTTCAGGTTTGAACACGGTTTGGAGAGATCTTTGGAAGTGCACTGTACCAGCAAAAGTGAAATTTTGTACTTGGAAATGTTTGCATGGGATTCTTCCCTATTATGATGTTCTGGTTAATCGCCACATAATGAACAGCAGTATGTGTCCGGTTTGTAAGAGATATTGTGAAGACATAAAACATGTTATTTTTCGGTGTGGGGAAGCAAAAGGTATTTGGCGGAAAATTGGCTTGATGCAGGTGGTTACTGAAGCATGTGAGATAGATTGGTCAGGTAGTGTAGTGCTTGATTATCTGATGGCTGGAAAGTTCAGGGTCCTAGTTGATGCATCAGTAAAGTTTTTAAGAGAAACAATCATAACGGCCTCTTGGTATATTTGGTGGAGACGAAGACAGATAGTCCATGCAGAAACCATGCAATCTTTATCACAAGCAGCGATGTCAATTCAAGTATTGGTATCTAGTTTCGCAAAAGCACAAGGGAAAAAGATTCAGCCAAGATCAAGTACTTGGCATAGGGCGCCTGAGGGCTTCATCTCTGTAAATGTTGATGCTAAATACGATATTAATATAAGGTCAGGAGCTACAGGTGTGGTAATCAGGGATGATAAAGGCGGATTTGTAGGTGCGGGTTCCAAGCTTATTCCTTTTGCGCTTGACGCGGCAACAACTGAAGCTCAAGCAGTTTTAGATGGTATTCATCTTGCAAATCAAATAGGATGTCAGACATTAGTTATTCAGTATGATTGTGCAGGAGTTATTGATACTCTTCAGGAAGGTGGTTTCTCTGCGACTGTTGCTGCTCCGATATTCGAAGACATCCGTATTCAGGCGAGCTCTTTTGACAAAATCTTATTTATGCACTGTCCAAGGGAAGCAAATCGGGTAGCACATACACTTGCACATGAATGTAATCTAGATAGTTGTGTGTGGGCTGATGATCCACCTAGTTTTATTATGCCGCTGTTGATTGACGATGTAAGCATGATTTAATTTAATAAAATTAGCCATGATGGCATTCCCTCCAAAAAAAGGTGGCATCCCCACATCATTCAAATTCGTTTTCTTTGTGATGCATAGATGAACTTAATTTGGCAGGTGTAGAGTGGTCGGCCGAGGATATTACTATTGTGGCATGGGTTCACTTCATATATACAAGTGCTGTGTTACCTTTAGAAATTTCATGGAAGTATTTGGTGGTGTTTTCTCCACTTCTGATTGTAGTCAGTCCTTATGAAAGACGGTGTATGCACCACGCAACGAACGAAGGATGGTGTATGGACCAGGCAGCCGTCATGTTCAACTCAACAAGATTATGTTTTGATGTTTTAATCATTGCCTTGCGCAGGTGCGGTTCAATGATAACTCTCCTAAGGATTGACCACGTTTGAACACACAGATGATGTGGATCTGTGGGATCTTTAGCCATGTTTATCAGACTAGTAGCGTGTGATTTTTTTTTCGTTGCAACGCACGAGGCTTTTGCTAGTATTCAACAATTTTCAAAGGTTTTTGTAGAATTTTTTGTAATATATATATTTAAATATATTAAATTATAAACAAAAGTACATAAATGAAACAAAAAACGAAAACGTACAACATAAAAAAACTGGTGGTGGCCTCGCTCGCGCGTGGGCCGGACCTTATTGCTCGTCCCCTTCAGCTTCGAGAGTTACACTCGCTGAAGGCGAGGAATAGGGGCGCCCGGCCGTGCCCCCTCACGCATCTACTCCCTCCGTAAACTAATATAAGAGCGTTTAGAATACTAAAATAGTGATCTAAACACTCTTATATTAGTTTACAGAGGGAGTACGAGTCAGGCTGACAAAAAGGTAAAAGAAAAGGCGGGTCAACAAAACGAGGCACGCAAGTCCATATATGGATTTTTGCACGGAACTTACAACATCCATATCCAATGGCTAACAACTTAGAAGAGATGTGCTTAAAACCTCAAAAAAAAAGATGAGATGTCCTTAAATATAGAGGGTGTTTGTTTTCAGGGACTTATTGGTTTAGGGATTAAAAAAGTTCCTATAAGTCCCATGTAAACCAAACAGGAAGGACTTATAGGGACTTAAAGTGGGCATTTGAGACTTATGAAATAAGACTCTTAAGAAGGGACTTATAGGGACTTATAGTTGTAATATGGTCTTATAAAAACTTATAAGTCCCAGGAACCAAACATGTAGGGACTTTTTAGAGACTTGGGACTTATAAGTTTGGACTAAGGCCCTGTTTGGTTCATAAGTCCTAGGACTTTTTTTAGTCCCAACCTATAAGTCTCAAGTCCCTAAAAAGTCCCTACCTGTTTGGTTCCCGGGACTTATAAGTCTCTATAAGACCATATTACAACTATAAGTCCCTATAAGTCCCTCCTTGAGAGTCGTATTTTATAAGTCCCAAATGCCCACTTTAAGTCCCTATAAGTCTCTCATGTTTGGTTTAGAGACTTATTTAAGTCTGTAGACCAATAAGTCCCTGTAAACAAACACCCTCTAAAAAAATCCTAGGACTTATGAACCAAAGAGGGCCATAATAGCAATTCCGTCCATATAATGTGTTGATAAAAAACATTTTTATCCCTAGAGCTTCAAGCATGCAATTATTGTCATTCTTCTTGAGACAAACATAGTTACACGCGGGGTGCTCTCAAACCCACAGTGTCCAAACTCAGCATTTAATTAACAAACACTCTCGTATGAAGACGAATCAGAGTCTTTTTTGGCTTGGAAAAAGAAAATCAAAAACCCGATCGAAGAACAAGCCATATATAGTAAGTAGGTCACTCATAGTAGTTCAGAGCATGCTATCCGCCCGCGACGGCAGTCGCCGGAAGAAGTTGCTTGGCACGGCGGGCAGCTTGGTTCGGAACCGCGGGTGCCGGAGCAGGAAGAGCCCGGCGACGAGCGCGACGACCCGGAACGGCGTGACGTAGAGCACGACCGCGGCGATGAGGCAGAAGAAGACGAAGAGGCAGGACGCCCTGGGGTCGCGCCAGCTGAGCAGCGACTGCAGCCGCTCCCCCTGCGTGGCCATGTCGCCGACGACGGTCTGTATCCTGCCGGCGACGCTGCGCAGCCGGTCGTAGCGCATGTAGACGACGTCCTGCTGCCTGGACGTCGGGAAGGTGTCGAACTCCTCGTCGAGCTCGTCCGGGTGCACGGCCTCGGCCCAGGACATCTTGGTGTCCATGTGGGGAGGGTGGCGCGGGCGGCGGCGGTAGTTCCAGAGCCCGATCATGAACATGTAGAGGAAGACGGTGGGGAGGATGAGCTCCGGGTAGCAGATGAGGATGAGGAGGAGGACGTGGACGAGCGCGGTGGTGGCCACATTCTTCCAGTGGCAGACATCGGCGAACCAGCGCGCGGCGGCGGCGGCGCCGGAGAAGAGCGAGACGGCGCGGAAGAAGTTGGCCTTGCTCCGGCGCATGCTCCACATGTGGGACTCCACGTCCAGCATGTACTCCACCACCTCCCGCCGCAGCGGCGGCTCCGCGCGGCCCAGCCGCGCCGCCACGATGCCCATGGCTTGGTAGCGGAGCGCGTCGAGCTGCGTGACCGTGAAGGGGTGCAGGTAGTGCATCTTGGGGAGCAGCGGCTGCGTGTAGAGGTGCACCATGTTCATCATGGAGAGGCAGGTGAAGCGCACGGCCAGCCGGAGCTCGCCCATCTTCTTCACCCCCGACGGCGTCAGCAGGATCAGCGGGTACGCGTGCGTGTACACACGGTCGGTTTCCAGCGTGGACAGGCGGATGCGGATCTTGCCGATGCGTGCGTCCCTCGCCGGAGGCCCTCCTCCTCCTCCTGCACCTCCTCCGCCGTTGTTTCCGTTGCCGCCGCCGAGGTGGCAGTTGTCGAAGACGCCGATGGTGATGACGGTGCTGGGGTCGAACACCTCCCACGTGTACTGCTCGTTCCACGTCGGGCTGAAGGTGCCGATCATGGTGCGCGTGCGCACCCACTTCTGCCCATACTTGGCGACGCAGTAGGCGTCGGTGCTTCCCCGGCCTTCCAGTTTTTTCATCGGCTGCAGGCCGATGGCGCTGAGGATGCCGACCTCGAGCACGCCGACGGGCGGCTTCCAGAGCTGCCGCGCCGTGGGGCGGGTGTCGCTGATGTACATGGTGGACTCGTCCATGACGTGGTACGCGCCCTCGAGGCAGGCTCGGACGTGGACGCGGCTGGCGAAGCGGAGCTCCCGCCGTGTCTCGCCCTCGATGGCGCCCCCGATGCCGAACTTCTCGAGGTCGAACCACCGGGACTGCACGAACGGGCGGTGGTCGAGGCGCTTCTCGAAGAGCGTGAGCGGGAGCTGGACGCGGCCGAGGAGGTCGTCCTTGCGCGGCGACACCCGGTCCTCGACCGTCATCACCAGCTGCTCCTCGAACGGCTCGGCGACGACGAAGAGCAGGTCCTCGTTCCAGCGCGGGTTGAGCGTGGCGGCGGGCACGACGGAGGTCTTGAGGATCTGGTTGCCGACCTGCGCCTTGACGAAGACCTCGGGGGCGCGGCCGCGGGACTGCGGCTGCACGTCCTGCGCCTCGATGACGTTGACGCGGAGGTACCAGAGCTTGGGCGAGACGTAGGCCTTGGAGCGGACGCTGGCGACGCCCTCGCCGCGCACGGTGGCGGCGTCCGAGTGCCAGGCCTCGGGGAAGGCCTCGTCGGCCTGGGTGCCGATCCAGACGGCGAGCATGAGCTCCCCGCGCACCTTGTAGCCGGCGTCGCCGCCGCGGCGCTGCTCGAGGCGGTACCACTGCGGGGCGAGCGGGCTGTCGGGCGGCACGCGGGTGGGCACCTCGGCGAGGTCGAAGAGGACGCGGCCGACGTAGTCGTCGCGGCCGAGCATGTCGCGGTCCTTGAGGTAGACCTCGAGAGCGTTGGACTGGACGCGGGACTTGGAGAAGGCGAAGACCTGGTCCCACTCTGGGTTGGTGCGGTGCTTGGTGGTGCCCTTGTAGTTGCCCAGCTTCACCTCCACGTAGGGGTCCATGGGCGCGCCGGTGATGGGGTTGGGGGGCAGGTCCTTGGCCTTCACCACGCGCACGTAGAGGAAGAACATCTGCTCCACCAGGTCGTACGTGCTGGACGGCTTGTCCATGCCCAGCCACCCCGCGATGCCGCCGCCCACGGCGGGCCGCGCCGGCCCCGCCGCGCCCTTGGGCCATTGCTCGCCCAGCAGCGGGTTCGTGTCCTTGAGCTGGAAGTCCTCGTGGTGCGCCTCATGGTTGCTGCCCATTGCCGATCACCTCACCTCGCCTCGATCAAGCACCACGTCTCAGGTTCGATCTTCCTATCTCCATCCCAACAAAACAGAGACAGGAGGCATAGACATGTCAGATCCCTCGAATAAACACACCACCAAACAAACTACAAACACTATTTCACCATTGATCATCTTAATTTCGACCCACTCACTCAATCTTTCAAGGCGAACGGATCAACTTCCAAAGAGATTCGCAGCACGCACGCTCTGGTCTATCAGGCCCTCATCTAGCAAGCGTAAATGGCAGGTGACGCGCGAGCCAGGCATATATGCGGCAGCAAGAAACTAGTACCACCAAGAAGAAGCTTGCGCTAGAACGCCACTCTAGCCTGTCGAACACATGCACGAAGCCAAACACAGAAGCCTTGTCACGCGCAGGCTAGCAGTAGCAAAGCAGCTTTCGGTGAGGCCAAATGTAGCTGGGAGCGAGAGGGGATCCGGGAAGCCTTGCCGGCAAGCAAAGCGACGGCCGGCGGAGACCCCGGCGAGAAGGAAGGTATACACGAGGTCGCGATCTGCACACAGCTAAGCTAGCCCAACCTTGGTCTGTCAGTATGTGTGTGTGTACACTACATACTACATGGACAGCTTAATTCGCCTTTGTGTGAGCCATGAGGGCTCCAAAGAAGTTTGAGGGAGAAGCTAGCCAACCTTTCTAGGGTTCCTTTGAGCTGAGAGGCGAGCCAGCCACGGGAAATTAGCGGGGATCGAACGAGGGATGTGATCGGAGGGAAAGGTGATTAAAAGTGGTATGAGCGCGCTAAGTAAAGATGTCGTCTCCACACGGGGAATCGAATCGATTCTTTGGTCTGTGGGATGGGCTTTGTTTATGCGGTTTGATCGATCTTCAGCTTTGGCTCCTGGGAACCAACTTTTGTACAGCGAGTATACGTGCAGGGGAGAGGGTAAATTTCCGGCTTCACGGTGCCGTGCCTGTCTCACTCATGGAGAGAGGAGAGTGCACTGCCTGGTGCACTGGTTGCATCGGAGGTCAAGGGGGTGGAGGAATTCGGTGCTCACTGTGCACTAGCTGGAGGGGAGAAAAATGGTCAAGTACGTACGTGGGTACGTGCATGGGGTGTGTGTATCGTGTAAGCTTAATTAGCAAGGAAGCGGACGGAAGTTGCCTTTATTCCATGCCGGCCGGGGTGATACTAGCAACTGGCAAGTGGTAGGTGTGTGGGAAACGATGGCAGGGAATATGATTCTCATCTCGCCTCCACTTGCGGCATGTCTGAAAACGGAGAGAAACAGGAAACGGATCCCAACTCTTGTAACCAGCACATTAATTACGGGAGGATGATTTCATGGTTGCACGTACCCTTCCCTGATCTTATTACACTGAAAATTGCCTAGTTAATCATCAGCCATCCAACACTCAGATATTCCGGTCTTGGTCCAATCTGACTCATCGGTATCTTGTTGCCAAGATAAAAGCATTAATGAAAACTGGGCTTTGTTCCTCAGAAGCTACAACGTGTTCAGAATAGGATGTAAGATAAGTTGACAAATTATAGCCGTACAAAATTAGCTACCGTTGTATGGTTACGTACGGGACCTCGGTGTATCGAGGACCTATCGTCACTTGATTGTAATCCTATTAGTACGGAATAAAACTCTCATTTCCCCACAAAATAAATTAATAAATCGTCAACGAGATTTTTTTTGGAACAAGCAACCCAAAGTTACATGTGGTTTTCATTAAGGAAGGAAGAGAGTTTAAATTATACTCCTTGTCTTTTCAGAGATTTCAACAAGTGACTACTGTCGTGGTTCTAAGTCTGACAGTAATGTAGGGGGGTAAGTATGGAGATTTTTTTTCAAAAGTAGCACGTTTTTATAGCAATTTCGGAAACTAGCAGTGTCGATACGTTATTTGCAAAACTAGCGGCCCGTCGGTCAACGGTTGGCCGAAGTGGACCTTTTCGGCCTGCGGAAGCCTGAAGACACGTCTTCGGTTAAGCCAGGCCGAAGCGTGCGCGAACTGGGCCGAAGACGGGCCTCTTCGGCCAGCCAGAGACCGAAGATGGGCCTCTTCGGCCAGCCAGCGACCGAAGAGGTCTTCGGCTTACCAGTGGCCGAAGAGTAGCGGATAAGGCCCGAGCGGTATCTTCTTTCTCCTCTCGCTGTTCTTCCTCTGTCTCTCTCGTTCCTCTCTGTACATCGCCCCCCTCGCTGATCTCTTCGTTTCTCCACCTATTTTCAAATCCAAAGCACAGAAACGGTAGATCGTAGTCATCTCCATCGGCCTACGGTCATTTTTCCCAATGGGATAGCTATTTGTGCGTACAAGTGAGGTGGAGTCATGATGGGGTGAGGAGGAGAGGCCATGGTGGGCTGAGGAGGAGGAGGCGGTTTGGCTGGTGAGGAGGAGGTGCAGCTTCGTGCCGCCGAGGGGGTGGCGTTGGTGGTGTCTGTTGGTGCAAGTTCTTCGTGAGGTGGCCACACGCGTCGAAGGTATAATCACGCGTCACATTTTATTAGTGTTAATTGGTTTTTGTTGGCATTTTAGCGGATAGTTAGTGTAGCCGGTAACAAATTTTTCATTACGATTAATTAGAAGGTGACAATGTCTGACAGGTGAAAATGTCTGTATCAGTAAATTTGACTGTTTACTATGGCCCTGGTAATGTTCGATATAATGAGTTGGGGGTTGATCTTAGCGAGTTTAAAAATGGCGTCATGACACTTTCAGACCCGGACAGAGTGGACATTAGACAGTTGAAGCACTGGTTCACTACTAGTTTTGGGTTGGATTCTGAAGTATGTTCCGTCAGTATTCATGCATTGTGGACCAAATCCTGTAAAAATGTCAAGTGGGAGTTGATGCCGATAGATAGGAGCCAGCATTGGTTGACCCTGTTAAGTCGTTGCCGAGACCGAAGAATCCACCCATATGTCCTAGTGCAGCCAGTGGCGAAGGAGGAGAATACCGTACAACTCCATGTGGGGTATGAACCCGGCCAGGGTAGTCGAGTTGCTAACGAGATTCATTTATCCGGGTCACAGCCACCGGATGTGGATCCTAGCCAAACCGAGAAGGATTCAGACTACATGCTGGACAATGTTTGTGGTCATGATACTGGGCAGAATATTCAGCCGATAATATTAGCTGGTTCTGGTGTTGCTGATGGGGATGAGGAAGGCGATGAAATGCAGAGGGTGATGGAGGAAGAGAACGATGATGGATATGCAGAGGATCTGGATTCTGAAGATTCTGAGGATGAAGTGGAGGTACCGATTCCTTCTGCATGGAATCAGGACATATCCACCGGCCTTACTGTGAACGATGGCCATGAGACTCCATGGCAATATAATCTGAACCAAGTCCAGATAGGGGCTATGTTTGATACAAAGAAAAAATTGAAGTATGCAGTGATAAAGTGGGCTATGTCTACTCAGAGGGTTTTCCGGACAGACAGATCAAACCTAACAAACTATACCGTGAAGTGTGTTGAAACAGGTTGTCCTGCGAAGGTGCACGGGCACGTGCCGAAGTATAACATCCACTGGGTTGTCACGAATGTGGTCCCACATAATTGTGTGAGGAAAAACTTGTTGGTTCGTCATCCAAACCTGACTTCAACTCTCATTGCTCAACTCATGTATACTGAGATAGTGGAGAAAAAAGATATGGAAGCAAAACACATCCAGACAGCAGTGAAGGTCAGATGGAATTATGACATTCGTTATGGGAAGGCTTGGAGGGCTAAGCAGAAGGCTATGGAGGAAAGGTTTGGGACGTTCTTTGACTCATATGATAATGTTGTCCGTCTCCTGGATGTACTGAAGATATCATCTTCGTCCTCGCTCTCCTCAGTCCATAAAAATGGATGCTTTTCTAAAGTCCTTCTAAAAGTTTCACTCTTCAGCTCCACTACCTTCTTCCACCTTTCATTCAACCTAAGAAGTTCTTTACGTACCTCCGCATAAGTCCTTCCAGGCCACCAGCCCTACGTAATTGGTGAGCCAACTCATTCATTATGGTGTCACTACCGGTGAGTTCTTCCCATGGAACTATCCTATTGTCCATCCTGAAATCGGTAGCTAGCCTCAGAAGAGTGCTGCTCATCTCAGGGTGAAAACTACGATCGAAAGGATAATGGGACATCTCGACTGCACTGGACTGCTTATTCACCTCCGGGTCAAGGGGGTTTTATAGGTAGAGAGGAGAGAAAATGGTGGGAAAGAACGACTGGGGTATGGCGGGAAAGGGTTGGCGGGAACATATGGCGGGAAAGGGTTGGCGGGAAACGGGTGGCGGGAACATATGGCGGGAAAGGGTTGGCGGAAACGAGTGGCGTGAACATATGGCGAGAAAGGGTTGGCGGGAACATATGGAGGGGAAAGAGTTGGCGGGAAAATATTTACGAAAAGGGCTGTGCAATTTTTTTTCATTGCAAAATGGTTACACAACATTCGTAAGTCATAATAAAAAACCCTTTTCGGCCTACAGTAAGCAGAAGAGCGCGACCATGCAACTTCGGTCACCTGTTCACGCGAAAAGGTGGGGCCCGGGGACTCTTCGGCCTACGGTTGACCAAAGAGTGCCCTTCGGCCTATGGGAAGCTGAAGAGTCCTTTTCGGCCTAGTTGGGCCACACTTCGGCCAACGGGAGGCAGAAGTGCCCTCTTCGGTCAATGGCTGGCCGAAGAGCCACTCTTCGGCCAATGGGAGGCCGACGGGGTGCTAATTTTGCAAATAACTTGTTAGCACTGCTAATTTCTGAAATTGCTGTAAAAACCATGCTAGTTTTGAAAAAAAAATCAAGTATGGAGAGGCGAGATCTTAGCTATGGAGAATTTGTAAGGACGCAAGGTTTACGAGTTCAGGCCCTTCTCGGAAGAAGTAATAGCCCTACGTCTCGGAGCCCGGAGGCGGTCGACTGGATTATGTGAGTATGAGTTACAGAGGTGCGAACCCTTGTCTCAGAGGAGGGGGGTGGCTTATATAGAGTGCGCCAGGACCCCGGC